TTTAAGGCACTGAGAAGAAAAATAATTACAATAATAAAAGTTACATTCCAGTAAAACAAAATGTTTATTGCACTTGGCAGAATGATGAGATCTGAGCTATAAATCCCAACTAACAAAGAAACCACAAAATGCAGCCGCCAGCAGCCTGGTACTGGGAAGTGTTTTATGCGGTGGCCGTGGGTCCACTTGCAAAGAGAGAAAGGGCAGGGGGCTGCCTGGGAGTGGTCAAGCTCTCTCTTTCTAGTAACTGCTTCTGTCCCAGGTACACCCTCATGGTGTTCCACATACTGCCGGCACGGGAGACAGAAATGCGGGCAAGAAAGTGCCCATTCGAGCATGTGATCCGGAAGCTTCTATGAAGGGGATCCCTCTCTGAGGCCTGGGGGTTCTACAGCAGAGGAAGAGGACTGGGAAGTTGGAACAATCAAGAGGGTTCTAGGGCACCCTCCCCGAGGCAGTGGTGGTCCTGATTCTGGCCCTGATTGTGCTGTGGAGCCATGGGGTAAGTGCCCCGAGAGGTCAGGCTCTGCCCTCCTGCTACGCACGTGACACTTGGCCAGCTGTCTCTTCGCCTTGGGTTTCCTCATGTCTGACATGAGGAACCACTAGTACCTCCCTCACTGATGCATGCAAGATGGTTGGCATGATGCTTGGCCTGGAGTTAGGTGCTCAGTAACTGCTGGTCATAGTTGTTCTGATCCCCACAAGGAAGAAGGTATTGAAAATGTTCCCTGAGGACGAGAGTATGCTGGGCATCCTATATACATTTCAGGGGCAGGGAAACAGCCTTTTGAGATCGCTTATACGCGGTGGAGTGGGATGGAGAGTGTCCCAGCTGAGAGGACAAATGGGAGGTGGGTCTCCAGTGACAGTGAAAGCTCTCAGTCTCCGCATCCCTGCCCAGGCCTACAAGGCAGCCCCGAGTGCTTGTGCAATCAGGCCTCCTCTTCCTCATCCCCCGACTCCACCCGGAGGCTATAATTTTCTTTCTAGCAGGAAACTGATGTATACGAATGATGACAGCTGGATTCAGAAGAGGAAAAAGAATACAAGGGACAGAGAGTCCTGTGGGTTTAAATCACTTTGGAACTCAAAACAAAACCCCCAGATCTGGAATTTTTAAAACCTAGTTAATGGCTGAGGAAACCTCAAAGGGTGGTGAAGCACTAAGATAAAAGTCTGAATCACACAAAACACATCATTATCTTAAGCTTTTCTAATCGTCTTCCCTGCCTTTCCCCTTCACTGTTTTTCTCCTTGTTTATGCCCCAGCCCCTCAACCTGGTTCTGAGACAGTTTAGAGGTGGAAATAGCCTTCTAAGGTCACGTACAGAACAGTGAGAGGAGATGGACAGATCCTCCTCCAACCAAAAATGTGTCCCTGAGATGGATACTACTTCATTTCTTTTGGAATAATTAATCGCCTTCAAGAGTCATAGTTAGATACATTTACCGTTGATATACAAATACGTACTCTCATATGAATAAAGCAGAATTATGGTGTTTAAGATCTGTACAATGGAAATAAGAGGAGGAATTCCGCCAGGATGGCACCATTCGAAGACAGCTATTTTTAGCACTCTGCGGCCTTTACCTTCAGTCTGGTTCTCAGTTCCCCACTCCCACCTCCAGACCCCCAGTGCTGACGATCACAATGTCTGGACAAATCCCCCTGACAATCCATGAATGGATTTTCAGTTACATTCTTTTTTGGCAACAACAGGAACTTAGTTCATAAGGTTCTAAGAATTCTAGGAGGATGCGGGCATAGAAGGAAATGTCACCTTGTCTTAAAAACCACCTGGTGTGAGTCTCTGTCTTACATCCTTCAATAATCTCCTTTGTCTACAAGGTCAACTACAAGCTCCTCAGATTGGCCTATGAGGTCCTTCATGATTGAGTTCCTGCCTCTGTGACTTCCAGTCACACCTGCCTGGGCTTGAACCCAACACTCTGGTCACTGCCCTCGCTCTTTGAAGGCTGTGCTGACTTGTGCCTCTGTGGCTCTGGCCATGCTCCTCCCTCTATCTATAATGCCCACCTTCACCTTGCCCATGTGGTCAATCTCTACTCACCCTCAAAACTCTTCTCAACCACCTTCTCCTCTATGAAGCCTTCCTGTCTTCCCAAGTAGAAATGACCTTCAGTCATTTGGTGCCTCCAGTCTTTGGTGCCTCCAATGTATCCCATAAACATTTCCTTTACAGCACCTGTAATCTCTTATTGCCCCTACTTAAAAGCCCAAAACCCATGTATGTGTGTCTCTAGCTATAGGTGCTCAACGTGTCTGATGCTAGCATGTCATTTCTGATGAAAAAATACATGAACAACAAAAATGATCCTTTTTTGGAATCCAAGGGGGCAGGAGCAGCCCTAATCAAGTGGATTTCCTGACATTCTACGACGGCTATGCCATCTTTCAGTATTTTCCCAAGAAAGCAGACATTTCTTCTTTCCTGAAGATGTTTAAAGTAAGAGGAGAGTTGTGAATGTAAGGGGCTGCAGGGGACTAGATAGATGCATGGTTTCTAGCTAATGATAATGAGGATCATAATATTAACAGTAGCTAATATTTATTGAGCACTTATTCTGTGTGATGCAAAGCACATTCCTTACATAGGAATTTACATAAATTTGTCAACATCCACGATAAGATATAGATCCTGTCATCACCCCCAATTACAGTTGAGAAAAATTGTCTCCCAAGAGGTTCAATGACTTGCCTAAGGTCACAGAGCTAACCAGGAGATCTGGGACTCAAACCCAGGGCTATGGCTTTAGAACCTAAACGATATACTCCCTACTCTGAGCTTTGTGAGCTAATAATGGAGGTAGATATGTACACATTTACAGACATGAAATGAACATGACAACACATGATATAAACATAATATCTGAATTCAGAAAATGAATTTACAACTGACTGATGCATGAATTTAAATAAGACTTCGTATCTTGATGACAACTGTTACTATTCTAAAAACTGAGGAAAACTCTGCATTTCAATCAGTTAATAACCAACTCATTTAACGAGGACCTGCTATGTGCTTAGCTGAGGGACGAAGAATCTAAGGCATGATCCATTCTTTCAAGGTACTTGCAGGGTAACACTGTAATGTCATGACATTTCAAAATCATATTCAAGTCTACATATCTAAGTAAGTGAACGCCTTGTTTGGTAACATATTTAGCTCTTGCTCAAGCTGCCTTTGGAAATAATTTATGAAACACATAAGAACAGATTTCATTTCTCTGGGTTCACAGTTTATTTTTTTCTTAAACAGTGCCGTCCATCTTAATCGCCATCGTATTTCACATTTGGTCAGTTCTAAAAATCTAGTTCCATCCTCAAAGGAGGAAACTTTATTACCACTGTTTGTGTGGATGTATATTATATGATTATATAACATTATATAATGTTATATGATGGGCAAACCTGGTTGGAGAATAGAGAATAGAGAATCCACCAAACATGGATTTTGCCCACAACATTCAAGGGTTAATCCCTCCAGACAAGGAATAAAGGTACTAATACGTTAAGAGAAACTTAGTTCAAATACACTGATGATTACAGTCAACCACACAACTCCGAGAGGATCCCAAAGTCTGGACTCGTTAGTTGTGAGCAACTCTTTCAAGGCCAAAGTCCTTTAGCTACTAAGCAGAGAAGTACTGTCAAGATATATGGAATTTGGAACTGAAATACAAAAATAGAGGAAACCCGAACCAACTTACTTGGTAACATCTGATCTATAATCCCCGCACCCCAGTTAGTTCAAGTGTAAAATAAGGTGGCGCAACCCTGAGGTCCCTTACAGTGGGGGTGATCTTTAATATATGGTGCAAACCTGGACACTTTCAAGGGTAAAGGGGAGGCACTATTAATAATTACACTGGGACAAGAGGCATAAACTAGGACTGTTTTACAGCTATAAAACTATATGATCCTATTCTATTAAACGGATACAATAGCTGCCCCTCTGCAGGGCTATGGAGCTGATGAAAGTCCAGGCGTGTTCTTCTTACCTCTGCATGGCCACAGGGGCTTTGTGGGCTAATATACATTGATCTGGGTGAGGTGGTTTCGCACCTCCCCCTCAAAGCACTTTAAATTGGTTTGAATTTGGGAACAGGGTTCCATATGGACAGAGCTGGACTCTGACAGCCTGAATATATTTACTGAAGACAACAAATCATTGACAGACTAAATGTAACAGAGGAAAGGCCTGGCCTGCTTGTACTCAGAATGTGACTTTGTAATTGTAGCCTCCTTTAGACAGGCCTAATCAATTAGAAGAGGCTGATTTTAACCAGTTGCAGGCTCATTACCCTGCATTCCAGTTTGTGTTGATGAAAATCAGTTTCAGTCTGTGGCCTGGAGCTCATGTACGGCACTTCCTGCAGCCTCTTATATAAACACATCAAAAAAAATTTTTTTTTTTAATTTGGAGTCGCCCTTCTCCATTTTAAGAAAACCACTCTGTGAATCATGATTAAAATAGAACAATTGTATATGGATCTGGTGCCCCATACCAGGAAACATATATAACCACGGAACACATCTCAAGTCAGAGCTTAAGGCAGTGAAGGGTGGATTTGGGACTGAGTCTCAGGTATCCAGACTCCAGGATCAAATGAACCCAGCTAAGTTAGCTCCACGGGATGGAGCAGAATGGACTCTCCGTTATTGAAAATGATGAATTTCAAAGAAAATGATGCATGGAAGAAGAAAAAACCAAGGTCTCTGAAACACAGAGGGTATCTGAGTAGAGTCCAAACTCCAAATAGAAAATAAATGGCAAACTTCCAACTAAACAAGGGCAAGTTTCCTAGAGAAGCTTCTATGAGGGAACCATATGACACCATGCCCCATATTGATTGTGGTTAGTTTTACAAAAGTAGAAGCTGGGGGGCAGTGTGTGGTAGAACCATTCAAAGCCCCACCTGTATTTCAAAGATCCATAATCATTCCAAAATAATGATATAACTATGAGTCATACCTGGCTCTGTGCCTTTCGTGGGTTTGTCAAGGCAGCGAGTCAACAGGAAGAGAATGTCAATATATACAGCTCTGGTCACCAAACATGGATTTTGCCTAGAAAGGTAAAGAACAGGAGATAAATTGGTATTTTCTCTCCCTGAGGTCTGGGTCACAGAAAAGAAAAAGGTATTTTCTGACAGGCACATCATGAGGCTTAGGGAGTTACGGCAAATGCTAAAAAAGACAGATAATCGCTAACTGTAGAAACACGTAAGTCAAATGAGGAAATGAAATCCTAGAGCATATGGTGGAGGTTGGGGATACGCATGCACAAAACAGATAAAACTCTATGCTCTGGTTCCAAATAAAACAAACTGAAAACAAACAAAACCCGGTATCCTCTCCCGGTTATTTGAAAACAAGGAGATTGGCAGGGGGAATTAGATTCTATTATTTTTCCGCTTTAGTGGACATATGGGGCGGGGAGGGAATCATTGGTTATGAGTGTCACTGACTGAGCATTTTGGAGAAGGAGAACTCACTGCCATAGGACAAACCATACCTACGGACTTAAAATAACCAGCTGAAAAACAAACACACGGAAGCACTAACAAACCCTGCGACAGACATTCCTTTCCCAATGAATGGAAAGTTCTTCTTTCAGTAAATGGAGTTCACTTTACTCTTTGAACCACACGCTGGAAAAAGTAAGTGGGCTTGGATTTAGGGGTCTGGATAAAAAAGGAAGAATGAAGACTTTCTCTTGAGAACAGTGCTGAAGGTCACCTGGCTCTGAGCCCCGGCTCAGACTGACCATGAAAAGGGCCTCCCTGGTGTACTAATAATTCAGTACAGGTAGTAAAAAGAGAAGGGACAGCTCTGGGTTTGAATCTTGGCTTTGCCGCTTATTTCTGTGACCTGAGTCATATTCCTGACTGGTACAATGGAAACCCTAATCACTGCATGGTGAGTCACCGTGACTTCCGGTGTGGCGCGGCAACCGGAATTTCCGCCTCGCTGCCGGGCCACGACAGACGCTCCATCGGTGTTCGCTCCCTGCCTTCTCTGCTTCCAGCCCAAGAGTAGGGAATGGCACAAGTGTTCTGGCTAGTGAAATTCTATTTACCTGACCCCTAAACCCATCCTCCCCATTCCCTGCATTTGAACAGTCTTACCATTTCCCTAAAGTTTATTCCTACTCTATCCTGAACTGCCCATATCTAGGGCTGGCATATGCTCTCGCATGAAAAGCAAATCAGGTCCTTTTGACTTAAAACTGTCTTGTGTCCAGGTCTCTCTGTGGCTGACCTGCCTCGTTTCTGTGCTACTGACTTGCTTCCTCTACAGTTATCTGCTTGCTTCCACTCCTACCCTAACTCCTAGTTTATATGCATACCTCACGTTTGGCCTAATTTCATACCTGCACCTAGATATTTTAAAAAAAAATCAGCTTTAAAAAATAGGTAACATGTGTACATGGTATAAAAATAAGTCAGTACAAAAGGGCATGCGGTGAAAACGAAGTTCTCTTCCACCCACTGCCCTCTACTCACCTCTGTTCCCCCGTGGCAACCACTATTACTACTTCTCAGTATGTCCTGCCAGGCTCATTCTGTTCATTTACGAGCATCTACCTATAGCTACCCACTTCTTTATTTTTACACAAATAGTTTACTATATACCAAGTTCTAGGCATTACTTTTTCTCACTTATATATTTTCGACATCATGCCATTAAAACAGAGATCTGGGGACACTTGGCTGGCTCATTTGGTTAAGCTTCTGCCTTTGGCTCGGGTCATGATCCCGGCATCCTGGGACTGAGTCTCGCATCGGGCACCTTGCTCGGCGGGGAGCCTGCTTCTCCCTCTGCCTGTTGCTCTCCCTGCTTGTGCATGCGCTCTCTCTGCCTGTTGCTCTCCCTGCTTGTGCATGCATTCTCTCTCTCTGACAAATAAATAAAATCTTTAAAAAAATAAAATAAAAACAGAGATCTGCCTCATTTTTCAATGGTTGTAGACTGCTCCATGCCATGGAGGTACCAATCCCCTTTTGAAAGAATTCAGATTGTTTAAGATATTTTGCTAAAAACAATAAGGAATGTATATATACATCAGTTTTGTGCATATCAATGAGTACTCAGGGGAGAAATTCCTAGAAGCTGAATGGATGGATCAAGATATTTGCACATTTAAAACTATGATTGCTTTTAATAAGATGCTCTCCAAAGAGACTGTACCAATTTACACTTTCACCAACAGCATGTCAGAATTCTAGTCTCCCACAACCTAACACAGTGCACTATTAAACTTTTTGACTTTTACCAAGATGATAAGTGAAAAACAGTATCTCATCTTTTTTTTTTTAAGATTTTTATTTATTTATTTGACGGAGAGAGACACAGCGAGAGAGGGAACACAAGCAGGGGGAGTGGGAGAGGGAGAGGCAGGCCTCCCGCCGAGCAGGGAGCCCGATGCGGGGCTCGATCCCAGGACTCTGGGATCACGACCTGAGCCGAAGGCAGACGCTTAACGACTGAGCCACCCAGGCGCCCCAGTATCTCATCATTTTTATGTTGCAATTATTTTGTTATAAGTGAGGCTGATCATCACTTCACATGCTTTTCAAAAAAGATACCTGAATTTCCTGTTCTGTGAAATGTATTCACTTTCTCTGTCCATTACGTTGTTGGTCTTCTTCTTGTTGATTTGTGGGAACTCTCTGTGTATTAAGGAAATCTACTCTTTGTCACGTGCTACAAATATTTTTACAGTTTATCATTTGTCTTTCAACTTCATAAATTTTTTTTTTAAAGATTTTATTTATTTATTTGAGAGAGAGAATGAGAGATGGAGAGCACGAGAGGGAAGAGGGTCAGAGAGAGAAGCAGACTCCCCTCTGAGCAGGGAGCCTGATGTGGGACTCGATCCCGGGATTCCAGGATCATGACCTGAGCCGAAGGCAGTCGCTTAACCAACTGAGCCACCCAGGCGCCCCCAACTTCATAAATTTTTTACAAGTCAAAAATGTTTAGTTCTATGCAGCCAAATATATTGGTATTTTTATTTGTGTCTCCCGGGTTTTATATCAGGCTTACAAAGTCTAAACCTTCTTTAAGATTATATAGATAGATAATTTAATATCTATAATTTAGAATTTCCCCATATTTTCTTGTAGTACTTCACAGTTCCATTTTTTGTTGTTGTTGCTTAAAACTTTTATCTATTTGGAATTTTTTCTCCCCAATCCTGCCCCGTCTTTTGTTTCTATCTCGTTTTCTCCAGGTCTCTCAATCCTAACTCCTTGTCCTGATTCCTCTACTCCCTATGAAAGACCCACAGTTTATGAAAAAACTTCTTTAATGGTATAATTTGCAATTCTGGCACTTCCACCGTTTAACAGGTAGGACTTTCCTCTGCCAAAGAAAGGGCCACTCAAGAACAAAAGCGAGAAAAGCCAATGCTGGGGGTTAATGAATCATCAGATATCTAGTACAGGGCTGAGTAAGCGGCCTGCGGAGAGCAGATGGAATTCCCTGAGCACCCAGCTTTGAGCTAAGTGCTGGGAAGTGACGTACAGGGGATGATTTCTGACCTCAGAGAATTCTGTCCACTTACGGAGGCAAAAATAAGGGCAAACTTTGGGACAGGATGTAAGGAGTGAAGAGAAAGAACATCAGGGTGGACTGGAGCAACGGGAAAGGTTTATAAAGATGTAATTCCAACTGGGCTGTGAACGCTGGGAAGATTTTAGCTAGACAAAGTTGATGGGGAAGGGCATTTTGAAAGGGGGCAATAGATATGGGAAGTAATTAGTCTGGCCTGTCTACAGACCTGGGGAGATCAGGAAGGGAAGATGTGAGAATGTGTTGAAAAGCAGGAACAAGGGGGGCGCCTGGGTGGCTCAGTTGGTTAAGCAACTGCCTTCGGTTCAGGTCATGATCCTGGAGTCCCGGGATCGAGTCCCGCATCGGGCTCCCCGCTCGGCGGGGAGTCTGCTTCTCCCTCTGACCCTCTTCCCTCTCGTACTCTCTATCTCTCATTCTCTTTCTCTCAAATAAATAAATAAAATCTTAAAAAAAAAAAAAAAAAAAAAAAAAAAAAAAAAAAAAAAAAAAAAAAAGAAAAGCAGGAACAAGGAAAATGTAGGCCAGGCCTTCAGGAGATGGGATGCCTCATGCTAACTGGGTGCTTCTTAGTGTAAAAATGCATTGCCTGCTCCCAGGTGGCCTCAGAGTCATAGCCTCTCACTCTGGATCTTTTTCTGTTGGTAGAGCCATACAGAACAATAGAGGGAAATTTTGGGGAAACTGGTTTGACTTTCAGCTCTGATGAGGAGCCTAGTTTCCATGAGATTTTTAGCTAAGTTAATATATTTTTTAGGATTTCTAAATGAATGGAGAAAAGGTTGGCAATCTTTAGAGCCCCCCTGCCTACCTGGCTGAAGTGTTCTGCATCTTTTTTTGGACCTAGCATGGGCTGGTGACCTTGCTGGCCTCCTGGGACACTCCAGGGACCACTGTGACTGCCCCCATAATGGAGAGGCTCTGGGCCAAGTCTGATGCACTCATCGAGATTGTGGGATGTTCCCTCGAATGCTGCTGCTCTTGATTCCCGGAAACAGAGGATCTGGGGCCATAAAGGAGTCCATCCATGGCTTCTCCTTTGAGACCCACTGAGACAGAAATTCTGGCTTGGAGTCCACAGTTCATGCCTCCACACCCAAGGACGGCCACAACCAGAGCCACGGCCACAGCCACATGACATCCCTGTCTGGAGTCACAGCTGGGCCTCACTCTGAACTGGCTTCTAGGTCAGGAAAATCATTTTGTTCTCTCTCTTTCTCTCTCACTGTTACTTGATGTTTGTTCTGACTTGGAAATGGTACACTGTGAGTTCAGGGTGAGCCAGAGGTTTGTTCTTGGTCTGTCAAGCCACTTTGATGATGGGAATAAAATCCTAGGGAACAGCAAGCCAGCTGGACAGGAAAGCAACCCACAGGGTTTTGGTGGGCTTGGGGATTTTTTTTCCTACCCCCACATGGAAAAATCCTGGCATGGGGCACAGTATAATAGAGATTTAGAGTGTTTTTAAAAAAAAAAAAAGAGTCAGAAGTGGTCAGGGTCTAACAGATGGGCTGAAAAACGGCAGAGCCGCGGCCGTAGAAGGAGCAGCAAGGATCCAGGTACTAGGAGGACAAAGTTTCCATATATAAAATCAAACAGAGGGCTTGTTGAGAATCTCGCTTTCTTACATTTTTTTTAAACATCTGCCCCTTGACAAATATCCACCTGAGAACCTGATGAATCCACTTCTGCCTTGGGAAATCTCTGAACTTCATTAAACCTCCTGCCCTCTCTCCTGGAAACTGGGGGGAGGGAGAAGGCAGGGCAGGGAGAGCAGGGCTTCCCAGACACATCCACAATGGCCCTAGTGTCTGGAGGACAGCAGGAGTTCCTGGGAAGTCTGTGATAAATTATTCACTTCCCCTGTCCCTTCCGGAATCCCAGTGGCTGTAGAGCTTCTTAACTGAGGCCCATTCATTCGGAAAACATTTACTGGGAGGCTACTGAGAGCTAGGATTAGTGCCAGGGTTTGGAAATATGAAGATAAAATGATTCAGTGACATAGTCACTGCCCTCAAGGAACTTCGAGTCCTGAATGGTGTTTTTCAAACTGTAGGTTGTGACCCATTTTGTTGACTATGAAATCAATCAGTGTAAAAGAGAGAAAAAGGAATGGAGGGGAATGTGGGGAGGAGGGAGGTAGGGGGGAACACAGAGGATCTGGGGCCACAAAGGAGGGAGGGAGCAGAGGAGGAAAAGAGAGGCAGAGAGAGGAAGAGAGGAAGGGAAGGAGGGCAGGAGGAGGAAAATATAGTCAGAGTTCATCAAAGCATAAAGGGAAGCATGGTTTCCTTCACTTGTTGCTATAAAGTCCTTGCCCAGGATCAATTTTTAATAAATTATCTTAGGTGTTAGAGGTAAATAATTTATGAAATGCTATAATTTTAAGTTAAAACATTGGTTGATTTGTTCTAACTCCTTTCTTTTTCTTTTCCAGGTAATAAGCCACCCTGCATTATACTGAATGGTATCAACAGGGTTATGCCTGGTATCCAAAGTGATGGTGGATATGTTGAAAGCAAACATTCCTGAAATTAAATGTGCTACAACTTGAGTAAATTCCCCTATGCATTTTTTTCTTACAGACTCTTCATATCTTATACAGATATTATCACAATTCCAAACTGCGCAAGATTTCACGTGTGTACATATTTATACACACAGACACGGCACACATACACATTAGGTCATATGTAAAATATTTGTTTTGAGTGGCTGTCAAAAAATCTTGAAAGCCACCAGTTTAGCAGAAGAAACATGCAACCAATCATACTAGAGTATGAGGGGTGGCCCAAAAGAGGGGTCTGACAGAGTAAAAATCAAGGATGGTTGAAGAGGGACCTGCCCAGTCCTCCTGGGTGAGTTAGGAAGTGACTTGGCAAAGAGCTAGAGAATGAGGAGTCTGGGATACAGAACATGGGCAGAGTGACCCCAGCAGAAGAAGCAACATGTCCAAAGAGCAGGGCACATGACACCCTTGGAAAATAATGAGAAGTGCAAAGGGGACATAGGAGGGGAAGGACAACAGGAAATGACAGAGGATGAGTGAAACACCCAAAGGGAGAGCTTAGGAGTGACCTTTAAGAGATCAAAGCTCCAAAGGGTTGAAGCCACCAGGGGGACCCCACCAGCCCAATCCGTACAGGAAAGCTAGGATCCCCATTCACTAGTGTGAAGCTTTGGTGGGCTCCCTAGAAGGGACAGACAGTTCATTCTGGACACACTATATTCTTCCAGAAGCATTCACTGCCATCTTCAGATGGCTGGAAACAGCTGTTATGGCTTTAGGCTGCTAGTGTCTGTTATGGTCTCTAAGTCAAGACACTGTACCTGGACTTCAACAGAGTCAGGGTCTGAGGTCACTCTAATCCCCAGGGAACTACTCCCCCAGAAGCCTAATTAGACTCATGGCCTAACTTTATTAATCTAGAAATATTTACTGAGCACCAGGGTATATCCTACTTGGGACAGAAAGGGAGGAAGAGGAAGATGTTCTGGCCTTGCAGGGTGGTGTGTGTGTGTGTGTGTGTGTTGGAGGGTGTATATGGAGAAAAACAAAATGTACAAAAAACTGGGAGAGGGAATGTCATGGAGGAGGGGTCTGGAGACACCGAAGGATCTGGCCGGTGAAGGAAAAGAGGGAATCCAGGCAGGAGAGCTCACGAAAGCAGATACAATGGTGAGAACAAGCTTGCCATATGCAGGGACAAATGAATACCAGAAAATCAAACAGGTGCAGCTCACGAGCTTGATGGCTTAGAATGACTGGGGAGCTCGAGCCCTAGCAGGGGCTCATCACAGCCCATTGCGGGCTCTAATCCTGGCCCCTACCCAGGCTCACTCCTACTCAGACCACTTCCGTTCTCAACCACGACGACAACCAAAAAGCACTGGCAGCCTCTTACCAGGGAGCCAGCAATGGAGTTAATAAAGCGATATCCCGGGGACTACCATCGGGCCCAGAACAGGTTGGAAAGAAGAAAACCAGAAAAAGAGAAGGAACGTAGGTGGGGAGCAAGGGGAGAGAAGCCAGGTGAGAAGTGGGGGAAGGGGCAAGAGAAGAATAATGAGAGAGGGAAGGTGGTGGGAGAGGGAACGTGGGGAAAAGTCTAGAACATGCTCCCATATCTTACCATGAACCCCAGACTTGACACATGTCCAGCCACACCATGTCCTTTATTGAAAGTTCCCTTCAAAGCCTGTCCTCTAGGAAAACCTTCCCTGACTAACCATCAGAAAACAGTCTCCGAGGACAATCGGAACCGCTGGTATTTTGTTGACCTTCCTTTGGTCTCCCAGAGATCCCGAAGGCCATCTTTGCAAATCTAGGCAGTGCGCATCTCTGCAATGGTAGCTGCCCATAGAACCAGAGTTGCCTCTCTTTACATCTGGATATAAAAGGAAGAGCTGTCGTGGGTTGGGGGCCAGGAGGTACTCCTTTGATGCAGACCACATTAAGCTATATAAATGTGGAAGTGTAAATTAAATAAAAAAGAACCCCTCTCTCCCTTCTGATTTCCATTTTTACCACAGCCCCATCACATGGCATTCTTGGAACAACAATAGGGGATTTGTTTAAACCAAGATGCCAAACGGTCATATATATTTTTAAACAAGTGATTTTCCCCCCACTGTAACATCCAGAATCTCGCTCTGCACTTGGGGCCGGCTGGCAGCAGCGTGCGGGGTCTGGCTGGCTCCCCAGGACTGCTCGTTTACCTTGCCCTCCCCTGAGGGTGTGTGACGGCAGAGCTGCATTTTTATGGTATGCTCCAACTTCCACCCAGCCTTCCTTGGTCTGGAGCTTTGCAAGTGTTTATACTCACACCCACACGCAGAAGCTGCCCTGTGGCCCTCCTACTTGAATTTTCCTTTTAAAGTGAAGCCATCTTTGTGCCCTGCTCTGGTGGTGACCAGGTCATTTATAGGGAACTGACTGAGTCGCCGATGCCCAAAGCAGGAGACCAGGAGCTGTGAGTCTGTCCAGAAAGGGACCAAACGTCCCAGCCATGGCTACAGAGCACATGGGGCTTCCCCTGGAAAAGCAGCTTTTGTTCTGGGGAATGGCATCTGTGCAAACAGGGCCCCAACCGCCTTTCCAGGGTTCTGGGTAGGCACTCGGCAAGGCCCAGGCAGTCTGTAGAAGACACCAGGGCACTTCGCAGGTCAGGGTCCAGGCCACAGCCGCCTTGACTCCCCTGGCAAAACCGCTGCTCAAGAGGAAACCCACAACCTCAAGGCCAAGGCTTTGCCTTTTCCTTCCATTAAGGCTCACCTGCCTTTTCAAAGGACCCCCAGGGAGCCTCCCACAGCCCCCAGAGGCCCTCATATTTTTCCATCTTTCTATTAGGCATCTTTTTCTCATTAATGTACTAACACTCAAGTTATGTGCAGAGAATGAGGAAAAAGAGACCTTGTGTGGGGCTTGGGATTTGTTCAAAGCCTGGGGAAATCGTTTTAGAGGGTGTATGTTTTTTATTCCTTTTATGAGAGATGCATGTTTCCCCCCCTCTGTGACTTGTTTAAAAGTAAAGTTTAATATGCTGCCAGAGAAATTGCTGGTTAATAACTTAATAAGCTATGTGCCTGGAATTATGGGAGAAAAGTAGTATCCAAGAAAACTTTTATTGTAGTTTGGGGCTTGGAGGATATATAGCTTCAGTTATTATATAAAATGCTAACAGAAGTCCCCTTTCTTTTCAAGCCCTACTTTCTCCCCAGGATTATAAAAAAGGATAAAGACGTGAGGCGAATGAAAACTTCTGGAAGCTGCATGAGAAGTCTGTGTGTAGATCACAAGGTGAGAATTTCCAACAGCCACAGTCAACAGAACTGTGCTAATGCGAACTTGGCAAAGCATACACTTGGGAATTAGCCCTGGCAACAATAGTAATACTGATAATAATAATGTCAACTGCCTTTTATGAAAAGTTTTGTCTTCAAAAAATATTCCTACCTTATCTTCATAAAATTCTTAAGAGGGAAGAAAAATAGGCATTATTATTCCCATGTTTTACAAATCAACAAAGTAGCTCATGTAGTTCAAGTGAACTACCCAAGATTAGGGCAAAAACCAAGAAGAGAATCAAGGTTTTCTTGACGAATTGTATCTATGGGTCCTAAACACAATCAGATGCAAAGTGAGACGCCATGCCAAACAATGAGAGTATTTTGGTTTGCAGCCACATGCTGTGGTGTTGTGTCCTGTAGCCGGTCTGGTGAAAAGCAAGGCTCCAAGCACAGCTGTTCCCCCGAGGGCCAACATACAGGCCTGTTTTCAACATGGCTGATGATGTTGATAAAGACTTAATCATCTGACAATGGATATTTCCTCTATTTGCTTAGCTCTTCTATACTTTCACACTCATTACACACCACGTCCTTCCTTGCCCACATCGGTTTCCCGTCGTCATTTTACAGGTTCCCACTTTACAGATAAAAATGGAGTCCCAAAGAAATGACTGGCTCCACAGGGTTGGCTAGAGCTGAACAGGGACCCCAGAACCCAGACCTGCTAAACTTGAGTGGACCCTGTCTCTTCTCAACTCCAGCAGGACACATACACAGGTCAGAGGCTTTTCCATCTGCCAAGTCCCTCTCAAAGTGCCCCCTCCTCTGGTCACCCAGAAACACAGGACCTTTGGGCTCAGGAGGGGAGCCCTGGAGTAAAATACCGATACCGCACAGGACCTTTGGGCTCAGGAGGGGAGCCCTGGAGTAAAACACCAATACCAGAGGTGTGTAGGCCAATCCTATCACCAAGGAAGCCTGGGTATCACTGGCAGCTGAGAGGGAGGAAGGAAGGAGAGCAAAGCTCTGGAGGGTTTCTCTTAAAGCCGCTCCTTCGGTCCATTCACGTAAGACCAGTCCACGCACCCCAAAAGCCCTCCTGGAGGCGGCCTGAAGTCTGGCCACACGGAACAAACGTACCATGGCTGAGTCAGCTCAATATGAGGGCAGAGAAGCAGGAGATCAAGCGAGGTGTAAAGAAGCACTCCGGCCAGGTCTGTGTGTTGCCGGAGAGCCCACCTTCAGAGTTGCTGACTTCAGTTAAGGGTACTGTCTCCAAAGATCACTACTGAAAAACAGCTGTATGATCCAGGAGAATTAACTTGGTTTACATGTTAGAACTCCGTAACATATTAGCATGATTCATCGGTCAGATCAAGTGGCAGTGGCAGTCAACTAGCTGAGAATAGATTTCTAAGCGAAGAGGACCTTGAATAGCTAAATGTTTGATGGCAGGAAGGTCTAGAGCATGGGTCCCTGTCCAAGGAGGGCAGCTCCCGAGAGAGGGTGCCAGGACAGCCAGGGGCATGGGGTCGCAGGGTTTGCTACGAGGATGTTCAGGCCACAGTAGAAAAAGGAAATGGATCAAGAGGCAAAAAGCAAATTTGCTATTTATGCCCAACTTGGGCCACCTCCAGAGTCAGCCACATCTGTCAAGTAGGAAGAAGTCACCTGCCCTCTTGTGCCTAATTCCTCATCTACAAATACTGGTTTGGATTAGATTCCTATTTTGTTTTTTTTTTTTTAAAGATTTTATTTTATTAT